GAACTAGTGATGGGCTAATATTTACTTTTCTGTAACTCTGCTTCAAACTAAGCAGCAGTGGGGAAGAACTGGCATTCCAGATGTTGTTGGACTGCCATCCCTATCCCTTTCGTTCTTGACCCTGCTTTCTGGAGTTCATTTATTTTTATTTATTGTGTCATCAGCAACCAGACCATTGTATTACATTTCTAACAGAACAAAATAATCAAACAGATAAAAAACACAAATTTTGCAAACTTGGTAGTTGATTATCTGGAGTTGCAATCCAACAACACTTGGCGTGCAATCACTTCCGTTCACCTTTCATCTAATTGCACCGGGAACCACCTTCTTTCTCACAATTTGCTAATGAGGCTCACAAATGACATGGCAAACAAAGGTGGCTTTGATAAGGCAGATTGTTAATCGTGTCAGAATAAACTATTAGACCACAAAGTGTTCAGTTTGGGTTATTAAATACAACTTTTTTAGAAGTATGAGAACCTGATAAAGTCTATCACGTCAGCCGCAGTTTCTAAGAAAGAGCATCTAGATATAGTCTATAGCTTCAGAGTTCCCAGAAAATAAGTTGGCCTAAAAATGGCAAGACTTTTCGGTGGCTGTTTGGGCACTGCTGTCTGGAAATGATCAGGGGTCAAAAGTATTCTCTGTTATTGAAATCAACAGTATGGAAAAGTTCCTGTTTGTAATGTCTCGTTGAGAAGATTCATAATCACATCATGCTTCCTTACATCCTGTAGTGGGAGAAAGGCAGGACATTAAACAAATAAAAAAAACAAAGTCTTATCTGGTAAAGTGAGAGACTTGGAGCATGTTTTGGAGCCCTTTGTGCAAGCCAGAGACAAAATCATTCAAAGGTAGCCATTCAACTTCCACTTAAAGAAGAAGGAGAAGTCCCAACTTCTTGCAGAAATAATTTCCCGTACTTATAACTTCATGGCTTCTCTTGCATTTCAAAGAATCATCGAATCATAGAATCAAAGAGTTGGAAGAGACCTCATGGGCCATCCAGTCCAACCCCCTGCCAAGAAGCAGGAATATTGCATTCAAATCACCCCTGACAGATGGCCATCCAGCCTCTGTTTAAAAGCCTCTAAAGAAGGAGCCTCCACCACACTCCGGGGCAGAGAGTTCCACTGCTGAACGGCTCTCACAGTCAGGAAGTTCTTCCTTGTGTTCAGATGGAATCTCCTCTCTTGTAGTTTGAAGCCATTGTTCCGTGTCCTAGTCTCCAAGGAAGCAGAAAACAAGCTTGCTCCCTCCTCCCTGTGGCTTCCTCTCACATATTTATACATGGCTATCATATGTCTCCTCTCAGCCTTCTCTTCTTCAGGCTAAACATGCCCAGCTCCTTAAGCCGCTCCTCATAGGGCTTGTTCTCCAGACCCTTGATCATTTTAGTCGCCCTCCTCTGGACACATTCCAGCTTGTCAATATCTCTCTTGAATTGTGGTGCCCAGAATTGGACACAATATTCCAGGTGTGGTCTAACCAAAGCGGAATAGAGGGGCAGCATTACTTCCCTAGACCTAGACACTATGCTCCTATTGATGCAGGCCAAAATCCCATTGGCTTTTTTTTGCCGCCACATCACATTGTTGGCTCATGTTTAACTTGTTGTCCACGAGGACTCCAAGATCTTTTTCACACGTACTGCTCTCGAGCCAGGCATTGCCCCCCATTCTGTATCTTTGCATTTCGTTTTTCCTGCCAAAGCGGAGTAGAAGAAGAAGAACCGTATAACAATAGAGGCATTTTCCTATTCTTTTTTGACTTGTTGGTCGAAATCCCAACTATTTATTTATTTATTATTTCAGATATTGGTACCCCACACTTCAGGGCAGATTCAGGGCGGCTTCCAGTCGGCAACAATTTGATGCCTCCAATGCATACATAATTAAATACACAATAAAATCAGCAGTTACATACATTTAAAAACAAATGAATCACATTCAATTAAAAACTGTAAAGCTGAAATTCTGTACTTAGTCCCAACTAAAGTTGGCCCTTTTCATTAATTGGGTCATGTTAGTCACCACTTATGTAAACCTTGCTGATGCCAATTGGTCTACTCTGATTGTGAGTAAAATTGAATCTGTATGATATCCATACATCCATGGCGCTCCATGCAGTCATGCCAGCCACATGACCTTGGAAGTATCTATGGACAATGCCGGCTCTTTGGCTTAGAAATACAGATGAGTACCACCCCCCAGAGTCAGACATGACTGGACTTAATGTCATGGGGAAACCTTTATCTTTTCTTACTATGTCATCCATAATTAAAATTTATGTATTTAGTCTTTAAAATGGAGTTTGACAGTACTTTAACTGCTATGGTTCAGTTCTCTAAAATCTTGGGAGTTATAGTTTCACAAGGCACTAGCACTTTCTGGCAGAGAAGAGTAAGGACCATAGAATTCATAGAGTTGGAAGAGACCTCATGGGCCGTCCAGTCCAACCCCCTGCCAAGAAGCAGGGAAATTGCATTCAAAGCACTCCTGACAGATGGCCATCCAGCTTCTGTTTAAGAGTCTCCAAAGAAGGAGCCTCCCCCACACTCCAGGGCAGAGAGTTCCACTGCTGAATGGCTCTCACAGTCAGGAAGTTCTTCCTCATGTTCAGATGGAATCTCCTCTCTTGTAGTTTGAAGCCATTGTTCCGCGTCCGAGTCTCCAGGGAAGCAGAAAACAAGCTTCTTCCCTCCTCCCTATGACTTCCTCTCACGTATTTATACATGGCCCTTATCATGTCTCCTCTCAGCCTTCTCTTCTTCAGCCTAAACATGCCCAGCTCTTTAAGCTGCTCCTCATAGGGCTTGTTCTTCAGACCCTTGAAAAACTACAACTCCTTGCAAAACTACAACTCCTTGATTCAATAGCATTGAGATATGACAGTCAAACTAAATTGATGCATGCTTAAAAAGGACAAAATGAGTGCACCCCCCCCCCCCCCCAGAAAAAGTAGACAGCATATAATTAACTTTAGAATCATTTACAACTGGACTGAAGATATTGGGACCTTTTCCATCCAAATCAGGTTGCGTCCTGAGTGTTTGTTAATGCTCAATGAAGAAAGCTCTTGTGTTTCATGTGCTGCTTGTTCCTCTCTTTTGCAGTGGCATTTTCGGCGAGCGGCTCCCATTGCGATACTACCTCTCTGGAGGCATGTTGCTGAGCGGCCTGTTCACGTGCTTATTTGGCTTGGGCTACTACTGGAATATCCACCAGCTTTGGTACTTTGTCCTCGTACAGGTATGGAGATCCATCATGTCTGCGCATAACATGGAGCTTTCTGTGAGACCTATCATTGGGCCTGCTGAATTTCCTCCAGTGGTCCAATGCCTTGTATTGTGGGGAGTTAAAATGGTAAACACTACAAGAACTGGGTTCTTGTAGGTTTTTTCGGGCTATATGGCCATGTTCTAGAGGCATTTTCTCCTGACGTTTCGCCTGCATCTATGGCAAGCAACCTCTGAGGTAGTGAGGATGCTTGCCATAGATGCAGGCGAAACGTCAGGAGAGAATGCCTCTAGAACATCGCCATATAGCCTGAAAAAAATTACAACAACCCAGTAATTCTGGCCATGAAAGCCTTCGACAATACTCTACACCACCATATGACCCATGCCTAATATGATATATATATATGCCCAACCTCTGATGCTAAAATACTGGTGCATAGTTAATCTGATTATTGATATCACTGGTCAACACACATTTTGGTGCCTCAAATTTCGTCCTGTTCCTGGGTATATTTGACCTACTGATTCCAAAAATGGCACCAGTTTTCCCCTATCAGCTTTAGGTTTTTGAGATACAGAACATATGCCTTATTTATTTATTTATTTATTTATTTACAGTATTTATATTCCGCCCTTCTCACCCCGCAGGGGACTCAGGGCGAATTACAATGTAAATATACATGGCAAACATTCAATGCCATAGACACACAACATATATAGATAGACACACAGAGGCCATTTAACATTCCAGCTTCATGGAGGGTATTCTGGCCACCAGGGGAGCTGTCGCTTCACTGTCCATTTGTGACACTGATGGAGTACTTCCTCATTCTTTGCATGCTTGCTGAAGATTTTTATGGCGTTGTAAATTAGTTAAATTAGCCTCCCTCCATAAGCGGTACCTAAATTTCCTACTTGGCATATGCAACTGTCTTTTGGGCTGCAAAGGTCGACAGGACTAAGTTTGGCACAAATTTATTTATTTATCTACAGTTTTTATATTCCGCCCTTCTCACCCCGCAGGGGACTCAGGGTGGATTACAATGTACATATTTATTTATTTATTTCAAAGTTTTCTATACCGAGCTTCTCACCTCTTAGAGGGACTCAGCCCGGTTTACAACCATAAAAACATACAATCAGTAAAATATCATAGTTCATAATTACAATAACACATTTAAAATAACAACTATATTTAAAACTACGGTGGTCAGTCGTCATATTAAAAACAAGTATACCTCATCTTCCATCCACAATCCTAGGGTGCTGTCTCATTCATCGAAAGCCTGTCTCCACAACCACGTCTTCACCCGTTTCCTGAATGTCAGGATAGACGGGGCGGTTCTGACCTCTGGTGGGAGAGATTTCCAGAGTCGCGGGGCCACCACCGATATATACATATACATAGCAAACATTCAATGCCATAGACACACAACATATATAGACAAAGACAGAGGCTATTTAACATTCCAGCTTTCATGAGGGTATTCTGGAGGGTGTTGCCGGAGATGTCTAAGGCATCGTAAATTAGTTAAATTAGCCTCTCCGCATAAGCGGTACCTAAATTTCCTACTTGACAGATGCAACTGTCTTTCAAGCTGCAAAGGTCGACAGCAAGCTACACAATAGTCAAAAGCTCACTCTGACCAGGGCTGGCTTCGAACTCATGACCTTTCGGTCAGTAGTGATCTAATACAGCTGACTCCCAGCCAGCTGCGCCACAGTCCCACTCTTCATCTGCTTGCCCACAGAAAACTATGATAACCATGTTTTAGAAACCAGAGCTGATGTGATCTATCTGACCATTTTTTTCTGAATCAGCACCCCAAAGAACTCTAGGAACAGACCTGAAAACCAAGACACCCCAATTTGCTTTGCGTTGGCCTGTGTAATAGAACTTAGTATCGCATGACCGATGATAATTACTTGGGGAGACTAGATAGCCTTTGTAGGGTCGTTGTAAAATGGCGAGAGATGTGAGTGTCTAGTCTCCTACCTGCCTCATTTCCATAGAGTCAAATGAGGTTAGCCACATCCCAGGGAATAACTAACAGTGCAAGGGCCCCAAAGTTCAGGGCCCTACATAAAGGAGAAGGAAAGTTAGCCACCTCTCTCTACCTCCCCATTCTTTGTGTCATCAAAGGCTTTCATGGCTGGAATCACTGGGTTGCTGTGAGTTTTCTGGGCTGTATGGCCATGTTCCAGAAGCATTCTCTCCCAACATTTCGCCCAGATCTATGGTAGGCATCCTTAGAGGTTGTGAGGTCTGTTGGAAAATAGGCAACTGGGGTTTATATATCTGTGGAATAATGTCCAGGGTGGGAGAAAGAACTCTTGTTTGTTTGAGGCAAGTGTGAATGCCTCAAACACCTTGATTAGCATAATAATAATAATAATAATAATAATAATAATAATAATAATAATAATAATAATATTTATTTATACCTGCCACTATTTCCCCAAAGGGGACTCGGGGTGGTTAACATGCCCAAAAATAATACAGCAAAGTTAGAAACAAAAACAACAGAAAAATTACACCAAAGCAAAATACATAAAATAGCAGAATAAAACAAACAGTGCAAAATAACATAATAAAATCATTTAATGACCTTGTAGTTTCAAAGCCTGGATGGTTGCTGCCTGGGGGAATCCTTTGTGGGGAGGTGTTGGCTGGCCCTGATTGGTTCTTGTCTGGTATTCCCATTTTTTAGTGTTGCTCTCAAAACACTCAAGAAAACAACATGGAAGCCTGTAAATAATAATCCAAGGTACTTCAGTTAGGGCCAACTTTCTCAGTAGTCCCTCATTAATTCTCATTGACAAGATTTTTTTCCCCTGAACTTCCCTTGACTTTTGTTTGCCCCATTAAGCATTGTGTGGGTGTTTCCCCCTCCTTGCTCCATTTGTCCCGTGATGGGAAATATTGTTCCATATGTTCCGCTCTGCATCAGGCTGGGCAAACATATTTAGCCATTGGAAAAAAAATAGAAGAGGATGCTGCCTGTTTTTCCATCCTTGTTGTGTCTGTCTGAATGTGTCACTGCTGCCAAATGAGATATTATTGGGTTTGATGATGCAGGAGTTACTGGGGAAAATGTTACTAGATATAGTCTGAGCAGCCTGGACTCGTGTTTGTGGCTCATTAAAAACCGGTGATTCAGTAAAATTCCAGCTTAAGACTCTGGAATTTCCGAGAAGGGTTTGGAGATATGATTTTCTTTTCTCCTCTTGTACTGCAAGCATTTGGAATGTGCAAATAAACATATACCGGAGGAAAAAATGCAGTTCTGGGGTGGAAAAAAGATGCAGTTCCGAAAGGATATCAATCTGTGTAGGTCTGAAATTCAGCCAGGAAAAAAGCTGTGTTATGTTAGCTCCATTTTTAGTTATAAATAAATAACAATCTCAAAGGAAAAATTGGTAGTCTATGATACTTTATTATTTTTTTTATAAATATTTTTTATTGAGTTTTCCTTCAACAGTGAAAGAGGGGGAACAATTAACATGATAGGAAAGTAGGAAATAAAAGGTAGGGTAGGGTAGGGTAGTGAGGGGGAAGAGGGGGAGTGGATCAGCCAAAACAAAGCAAAATCAACCACCCAAGGTCCATATTTATTTATTTATTTATTTACTTACTTACTTTGCTTATATACCGCTCTTCTCAGCCCGAAGGCAACTCACAGCAGTTTACACCCAATAAAAACAGCAATAATTCAATGCACATATAGCAATTAACCACTTATCACATTAACCACTTAATAAACAGCAAGCAATTACACTAAACAATTATTACAATAACCAACCCAATCGTCTCATCATCAAAGCGTAGTCCAAGTTCGTCGTCCATTGTTCCATTCCTATGTTCAATTACCAATATTGCACTAGATTACTCAAATGCCTGCACAAACATCCAGGTCTTCAACTTTTTTTGGAATGCCATGAGAGATGGTGCCAGCCTAATGTCCGTAGGAAGGGCGTTCCACAGCCGAGGAGCCACCACCCTATCTCTCGTCCCCGCCAACCGTGCTTGAGAAGCCGGCGGGATCGAGAGCAGGGCCTCCTCGGAAGATCTCAGAGTCCTGGTGGGTTCATAGGCCGAGATGCAGTCAGATAGGTATCTTGGGCCGGAACCATTTAGGGCTTTATAGGCCAGCGCCAACACCTTGAATTGAGCCCAGTAGCAGATCGGCAGCCAATGGAGCTGGCGCAACAGGGGGGTCGTATGCTCCCTGCGCTCCGCTCCTGTTAGAATCATGGCTGCCGCACGTTGGACTAATTGAAGCTTCCGGGCCGTCTTCAAGGGCAACCCCACGTAGAGAGCGTTGCAGTAGTCTAGGCGGGATGTGACCAGAGTGTGGACTACCGTGACCAAGTCAGACATATGAAAGTCATAGGGGAGAAAAGAGAAGATAATAATAATAATAATAATAATAATAATAATAATAATAATACAATAAAATCTCGAGCTTCCAGTTCGGTTGACAGAGGTACATGCATTAAGTTGCTTATGTCTTCTTATGGTCTCATTCACCCCGTAATCGATGTTAGTTCTTGGTGGCGAATGTTAAATGTTTAGTTTGATTTTCTCTCTTAGGTACTCTTTAAGTTGGTTCCAGTTTATGGGTTTTTCACAACTCTGTTCCCTTAGTAAATAAGAAAGCCTATCCAGGTCCATATCTATCTATATATAAATGCTCTGTGCATAATGAGTACCTTAAAAACAAAAGAACCAATGAACGAAATCACACCAAATTTGGCAACAAAACATCTTACAACACAATGAGTGACCATCACTCAAAAAATTATGATTTTGTCATTTGGGAGTTGTAGTTGCTGGGATTTATAGTTACCTACAATCAAAGAGCATTCTGAACTCCATTAATGATGAAATTGAACCAAACTTGGCACACAGAACTGCCATGTCCAACAGAAAATACTGGAAGGGTTTGGTGGGCATTGACCTTGAATTTTGGAGTTGTAGTTCACCTACATCCAGAGAGCACTATGGACTCAAACAAGGATGGATCTGGACCAAACTTGGAACAAATTCTCAATATGCCCAAATGTGGACACTGGTTGAGTTTGGGGAAAACAGAGATGGTGGAGGGGTATAAAGATTATTATTATTATTATTATTATTATTATTATTATTATTATTATTGGAAGCATCTACGGACAACATTTGTTCTTTCGCTTAGAAATGGAGATGAGCACCACCCCCCAGAGTCAGACAGTAAAGCAATAACATTTATATACAATAACATTTATATTAAAACCCACCTGTAAACAACATAATTTAAAAACAGTTATTAAAATCACACCATCCAATGTGTAGTCATTCCATTGGTCCATTCACTATTGCTTATTCTCTTATTGCACCAAGAACTTTGCTGTCCGAAAGCTTGGTCACATAACCAAACCACGTTTTTACTTCCTTCCTGAAGGCCAGGAGGGAGGGGTGCTCTAATTTCGCTAGGGAGGGAATTCCATAGCCGAGGGCCCACCACAGAGAAGGCCCTGTCTCTTGTTCCCACCAGTCACATTTGCGAGAGAGGTGGAATCGAGAGCAGGACCTCCCCAGAAGATCTTAATCTCCAAGGTGGGTCATAGAGATAGATATGTTTGGACGGGTAAGCTGGGCCGGATATGGTGTAGACCAGGGGTCCTCAAACTTTTTAAACTGAGGGCCAGGACACAGTCCCTCAAACTGTTGGAAGGCCGGTTATAATTTGAAAAAAACCATGAATGGATTCCTATGCACACTGCACATATCTCATTTGTAGGTCAAAAACACTTAAAAACAATACAATAATTAAAATGAAGAACAATTTTAACAAATATAAACTTATTAGTATTTTAATAGGAAGTGTGGGCCTGCTTTTGGCTGATGTTGTTGTTGTTGTGCGCTTTCACGTCATTTCAGACTTAGGTTGACCCTGACCAAGGGCCAGGTAAATGACCTTGGAGGGCCATATCCGGCCCCCAGGCCTTAGTTTGAGGACCCTTGGTATAGACCTTTGTCCAAACCAGATCTCGGAACAGTTACTTTTTGGATTACCATCCTCAAAATCCACTGTTCAAATAGACTGAAAGATTCAGTTGCTTCCACGGAAGAATCCGTAACTGGAGCTTTCGTGTCAGTGGGACACTATCTATTTTAGTCTAAACCAGAGTTTCTCAACCTTTCTAATGCCATGACCCCTTAATCCAGTCCCTCATGTTGTGGTGACCCCCTACCATAACATTATTTTCGTTGCTACTTCATAACTGTAATTTTGCTACTGTTATGAATCAGAATGTAAATATCTGATAGGCAGGATGTGTTTTCATTCACTGGACCAAATTTGGCACAAATACTGATAGGTCCAAATCTGAAGACTGGTGGGGTTGGGGGGGGGGGGATATTTGGTTTTGTCATTTCGCCATTGTAGTTGCTGGGATTTATGGTTCACCTACAATAAAAGAGTATTCTGAACTCCACCAACAGAACTCCCATGACCAAAATAAAATACTGGAAGGTTTTGGTGGTTTTGGTGGACATTGACCTTGAGTTTTGAAGTTGTAGTTCGCCTTCATCCAGAGAGCACTGTGGACTCAAACAATGATGGATCTGGACCAAATTTGGCACCGATACTCAATATGTCCAAATGTGAACTCTGGTGGAGTTTGGGGAAAATAGATCTTGATATTTTGGAGTTGTAGTTGCTGGGATTTATAAGATTAAAATACATATAAAACCATTCGCCAAGTAAAACATCATCCAACTCAGTCCGCACATTGTGGTCCAATAATTTTATTTATTTATTTATTTAAAACATTTATATCACACCCTTCTCATTTATATCACTCCGCTTCTCAGAGCGGAGGACAGCATATACACGGCAAACATTCAATGCCTGGATACAATACATAAGCATTAAAAAACATTTATCGAAAATATTWAAATACACCATTTAAAATAACACAATTTAAAACCRTCCTAGCCATCCGCATCAAATCCAATTGGCCCTGTCATCTTTCCCATTGCAGCTTCATTGCCCTGTCCCAAAAGCTTGGTCCCACAGCCAAGTTTTTACCATCCTTCTAAAGGACAGGAGGGAGGGGGCCGACCTGATCTCGCCAGGAAGGGACATCCATAGCTGGGGAGCAAWCACTGAGAAGGCCCTGTCTCTCGTCCCCACCAATTGCGTCTGTGAAAATGGCTGGATGGAAAGCAGGGCCTCCCTGGAGAATCTTAATCTCTGTGATGGTTCATAGGGGGAGATGTGTTCGGACAGGTAATTTGGGCCGGGGCCGTTTAGGGCTTTATAGGCCAAAGCCAGCACTTTGAATTGTGCCCGGTAGCAAACTGGCAGCCAGTGGAGCTGGCATAAAATGGGAGTTGTATACTCCCTGTATGCTGCCCCAGTTATTCACCTGGCTGCCTCTCGTTGGACTATTTGAAGCTTCCGAGCAGTCTTCAAAGGCAATCCCACGTAGAGTGCGTTGCAGTAGTCTATTCTAGATGTAACAAGAACGTGGACCACCGTGGCCAAGTCTGACTTCCCAAGCTACGGGCGCAGCTGGCGCACAAGTTTTAATTGTGCGAATGCTCCCCTGGCCACTGCTGCAACCTGGGATTCCAGGCTCAGTGATGAACTCCAAGCTGCGGACCTGTGCCTTCAAGGGGAGTGTGACCCCGTCCAGCACAGGTTGCGATCCTATACCCTGTTTGGCCTTGTGACTGACCAGGAGGGCCTCTGTTTTGTCTGGATAACTTCAGTCTTTACTGGTCTCCGTCATCACTCTGCAAATACCTGATTCCAAAGCCAGGATTTCAATTGTTTCCTGAAGGTCAGGCGGGAAGGGGCAGACCTGACTTCATTCGGGAGAGAGTTCCATAGCCGGGGGGGGGGGGGGGGGGGGGACCACGGAGAAGGCCCTATCTCTCGTTCCCACCAGGCGGGACCTAGAGCAGGGCCTCTCCGGAAGATCTTAATGCCCTTGATGGTTTATAGGGGAGAATACATTCGGACAGGTAAACTGTGCCGGAACTGTACAGGGTTTTGTAGGTTAAAACCAGCACTTTGAATTGTGCTCGGAAGCTAACTGGTAGCCAGTGGAGCTGGCGCAACAAGGGAGTTGTGCGCTCCCTGTATCCCGCTCCCGTGAGCAACCTGGCTGCCGAGCGTTGGACTAATTGCAGCTTCTGGACAGTCTTCAGAGGCAACCCCATGTAGAGTACGTTGCTGTAGTCTATTCGGGATGTGGACCAAGTCAGGGTCAATTACTAGGCCAATTACTTTGTAGATATACAGGGAAGTAGATTGTGTGCTTTAATCATTGTTGTGTGGCTGGTTGTTCAATTACTGTCTCTTAGCCACTTCTCTGAGTGGTTATGAACTTAGAAGGATTGATGTATTTTCGAAGGCTTTCATGGCTGGAATCACTAGGTTCTTGTGGGTTTTTTCGGGCTATAGAGCCATGTTCTAGAGGCATTTCTCCTGACGTTTCGCCTGCATCTATGGCAAGCATCCTCAGAGGTGCCATCCTCAGAGGTGCCATAGATGCAGGCGAAACGTCAGGAGAAATGCCTCTAGAACATGGCTCTATAGCCTGAAAAAACCCACAAGAACTTAGAAGTATTGCATTTCCACATCCCTTTGGCCCTTGAATGAGTCTGCAAATATGTCCTGCAGTTTCCCTAACTCTGCTTCTTTCCTTTTCTTGCCGTTCCTAGATCTTCAATGGCTTGGTGCAGACAACTGGTTGGCCATCCGTGGTTACATGTGTCGGCAACTGGTTTGGAAAGGGGAAGTGAGTCTGGTTTCTTAACATCTGCATTTTGTGGGGTTTTTTTTGTTTTCCTTTCAAGTGCTAATTGCTTAATCTGCGGAGGAAATATCTGATTTATTCCCTCACTCGAACAGAAAATATAATGTGGGGCTGGAAATTGAATTAAGTATGAAGGTTGAATGAAAAGTAATGCCTCCACCTTCGTAACTCCTCAACAGATGGCAGTACTGGTATGCGGCAGGTACTGGCTTGTTCAGTAGACTCTCCTCTACGGTTCCATTTTGGCAGGAAGCCTTAGCATTGAATGATTGTGTTGTTAAAGTGCGAAGTATGGAACCCTGCGCAGACAGTCGGTCAAAGCGACTTAAGCAATGCAGTCATTGAATTCTTGACAGCAGAAGGTGTCACTCCAAAGAAGATTCATCAGAGAATGCAAGCTCTTTATGGTGACTGTGTTGATGTGAGTGCTGTGCGTCGTTGGGCGAGTATGTTTAAAGATATTAAGGTGGGAACATCTGACTTGCATGACAAACCAAGAGTTGGATGTCCTGTGACAGCAACCACTGAGTTTCACAAGCAAAAGGTTGACAGATTAATTTAGGATGATTCTTGTATCACTCAGAGAGAAATTTCAAGCATAATTGGCATTTCACAAGAACGTGTGGGTCACATTATTGCTTTGCTTGGCTATCGGAAGATCTGTGCACGATGGGTTGCGGAAACAGAGTGTCAACTTCTTCCATGACGGCTTCAGAAAACTTGTTCATTGTTGGCAGAAATGTATCCAATTGTCTGGTGATTATGTGGAACAGTGAATAGTTATAGTTAAAGAGCACATTCTAAAGATTATTTCTGCGTTTGGTTTATTAAAATATTCCCATCCAAACGCAAGTAACGAAGGTGAAGGCATTACTTTTCATTCAACCCTCGTATATAGCGTCTTCATGGAAGCAACTAGTCACCGCTGATTGAATTCTGCATTATACCATCCCAAATCTCCAATTATCACTGTCATTGTGCACTTGGTTGGAGATTCTGGGAGATGTAGTGCTGAGGGTAATTTTTTTTTCTAATCTCAGAACTTGTGTTTTAACATCAACCTTTAGCTCCATGTCTGAACAAACACATTAGAACTTGTAGTGTGCTTTCTTTCCTGGCACAGAGATTGATTTGCCCCTTTCTGTCACCATCTCTTCCCAGGCGGGGTTTCATCATGGGCATCTGGAACTCACACACATCTGTCGGAAACATCTTGGGGTCCTTGATTGCTGGCGCATGGGTCTCCAGCACATGGGGTTTGTCTTTCATCGTGCCCGGGATCATCATAGCTACCATGGGCGTCATCTGCTTCTTGTTCCTCATTGAATGTGAGTATTATGGGTATGCGGGGCCAAAACAGCTGACAGACCCTGCCCTCCCAATGTGATGCAAAGATGGGGAGGAATTTGTTTGTTTGTTTGTTTACTGCATTTCTATACTGCCTTTCTCAGCCAGAGGCGGCTCAAGGCGGTTCACAGTCGGCAGCAATTTGATGCCATAACAAATATCAAAATACAGTTAAAACAATTATAAAAACAATTCAACATTTAAAATGTAATATAGAAAGCAAATATATCTGTGAAAACAAGATCCTCGGCATCTCCTTACTAAAATCGTTGTCCAGTTGCATCATCAGTCATTCCATATATTCGTTTACATCTAATGCTCCAGTAGAAAAAGCGGTCTTAACCATTTTGCGGAATGTTAGCAGGGAGGGAGCCGATCTTATATTCCTGGGAAGGGTGTTCCATAGCTGAGAAGGCCCTGTCTCTCGTCCCCGCCAAACACATCTGCGAGGAAGGTGGGATCAAGAGCAGGGCCTCCCCAGACGATCTTAAAGTCCTAGATGGTTCATAAGGAGAGATACGTTCGGATAGGTAAGCCGGACTAGAACCGTTATAGACTAAAGCCAGCACTTTGAATTGTGCCCGGTAGCAGACTGGCAGCCAGTGGAGCTGGCGCAACAGAGGAGCACCGCTCCCATTAGCAACCTGGCTGTCTCTCACTGGACCATTTGGAGCTTCTGGACAGTTTTCAAAGGCAACCCCATGTAGAGAGCATTGCAGTAGTCTATATGGGATATAACCAGAGCGTGGACTACCATGGCCAAGTCAGACTTCTCAAGGTACAAGTGCAGCTGCCGCACAAGTTTTAATTGTGCAAATGCTCTCCTGAGATTCAAGGCTCAATGATGAGTCCAGGATCACACCCAAGCTGTGAACCTGCACCTTCAGGGGGAGTGTAACCCCATCCAGCACAGGCTGTAACCCTATGCCCTGTTTGGCCTTATTGGGTCATCTGGGGTATGAACAGGTGAAAAATGTGAGACAAAATGGAGCGCGTTTGGTGGGGACACGAGACAGGGCCTTTTCCGTGATGGCCCCCCGACTCTGGAACACCCTCCCCAAAGATCTTAGACAGGCCCCTACATTGGCAGTCTTCAGAAAGAACTTGAAGACCTGGCTGTTCCGATGTGCCTTTCCCGAATAGGAAACTTCCATTACCTAGTCCCACAAGCACTTTATTAAAGCCAAGATGGCCGCACACTGCACACTGCACTTGTCCATAAGCCTCAATTCCACCTGTCACATCAGCACTTTTAACCCTTGTACCCTTACTCTGGCCCGGCCCAGTTTTATTGTGTCTTAGTGGATTGTTCATTGCTTGTTGTTTTAGATTGCTTTAATTGTTTTAATTTGACTAGGTTTTGTATTGTTGTATTGTTGTTGAGGCCTTGGCCTTTGTAAGCCACATCGAGTCCTGCGGGAGATGCTAGCGGGGTACAAATAAAGTTTAATAATAATAATAATAATAATTAATAATAATAATAATAATAATAATAATAATAATTACACCCGGGTAAGATTTGAAAGAGAGACAGTGTGGTGTAGTGGTTTGGCTTTGGACTATGACTTGAAGACTAGGGTTTGGGTCCCCACTTGGCCATGGAAACCCACTGGGTGATCTTGGGCAAGTCACATTCTCTCAGCCTCAGATATTGGGAAAGGTAAACTCTTTCCGTGCAAATCTTACTCCTTAGGTTGTGCATAAGTCAGAAATGACTTGAGGGCATACAACAACCGCAACAAGATTTGAGAAGTGTAATTTTCCCCGTAGGCATAAGAGTAGGAGTGAGGGAAATCAGGCCCTTGGCTTCCCAGAATGGTGTGACCCCTTCCTTTACCATAAGAATAATGTTTGGTTTATTGTCCATATTGTGATATGCCTTAAGAGTGTTTTTAAGGATGATAAAACATCAAATCATCCAGGCGTCCCCTGGGCAACGTCCTTGCAGACGGCCAATTTTCTCACACCAGAAGCGACTTGCAGTTTCTCAGGTCGCTCCTGACACGACCAAAGCAAATGGCAAAAAACTAATGATATCTGGTGCTGGGATAATATCATTTTGGGTACTTTAAGAAAAAAATATTAGAAACAACAATTTACCAGTCTCTTTGCCTTGTTTGGAGGAGTTTTGTAAAAATCCATTGGCTCATTTGTGAAGGAATATCTGAGCAGCATTTCATACACAGATTAAACCCTTGCTGCCACCTAGTGGCTTTTTTTTGTCGTGTCAGGAGCGACTTGAAAGGCTGCAAGTTGCTTCTGGTGTGAAAGAATTGGCCGTCTGCAAGGACGTTGCCCAGGGGACACCAGGATGATTTTTGATGTTTTTATCATCCTTGTGGGAGGCTTCTCTCATGTCCCTGCATGAGGAGCTGGAGCTGATAGAGGGAGCTCATCCGCCTCTCCCCGGATTCGAACCTGCGACCTGTCGGTCTTCAGTCCTGCTGGCACAGGGGTTTAACCCACTGAGCCACCAGGGGTTCCCTAGTACAAAGTTGCATTGCATTTTTAACAAACAAACAAAACACAAAATTTGCAAGCTTGGTAGTTGATTAAATGTCCTTTGACCAGTATCTGGCCACTTGGGGTGCCTCTGGTGTTGCCGCAAGAAGGTCCTCCATTGTGCATGTGGCAGGGCTCAGGTTGCATTGCAGCAGGTGGTCTGTGGTTTGCTCTTCTCCACACTCGCATGTCGTGGATTCCACTTTGTAGCCTTATTTCTTAAGATTGGCTTTGGACTCTCGCTTCCTGAGGTGTTCCAGCAAGTGTCTCTGTAGATCTTAGAAAACTATTTCTTGATTTAAGTCATTGACGTGCTGGCTGATACCCAAACAGGGTGAGCTGGAGATGTCTCTGCCTTGGTCCTTTCACTATTGGCTGCTACTTCCCGGCGGATGTCAGGTGGTGCAATGCCAGCAAAACAGTGTAATTTCTCCAGTGGTGTAGGGCGCAGACACCCCGTGATAATGCGGCATGAATCATAGAATCATAGAATCAAAGAGTTGGAAGAGACCTCATGGGCCATCCAGTCCAACCCCCTGCCAAGAAGCAGGAATATTGCATTCAAATCACCCCTGACAGATGGCCATCCAGCCTCTGTTTAAAAGCTTCCAAAGAAGGAGCCTCCACCACACTCCGGGGCAGAGAGTTCCACTGCTGAACGGCTCTCACAGTCAGGAAGTTCTTCCTCATGTTCAGATGGAATCTCCTTTCTTGTAGTTTGAAGCCATTGTTCCGCGTCCTAGTCTCCAAGGAAGCAGAAAACAAGCTTGCTCCCTCCTCCCTGTGGCTTCCTCTCACATATTTATACATGGCTATCATATCCCCTCTCAGCCTTCTCTTCTTCAGGCTAAACATGCCCAGCTCGTTAAGCCGCTCCTCATAGGGCTTGTTCTCCAGACCTTTTATCATTTTAGTCGCTCTCCTCTGGACACATTCCAGCTTGTCAATATCTCTCTTGAATTGTGGTGCCCAGAACTGGACACAATATTCCAGATGTGGTCTAACCAAAACAGAATAGAGGGGTAGCATTACTTCCCTAGATCTAGACAGTATGCTCCTATTGATGCAGGCCAAAATCCCATTGGCTTTTTTTGCCGCCACATCACATTGTTGGCTCATGTTTAACTTGTTGTCCACGAGGACTCCAAGATCTTTTTCACACGTACTGCTCTCGAGCCAGGTATCACCCATTCTGTATCTTTGCATTTTGTTTTTCCTACCAAAGTGGAGTATCTTGCATTTGTCCCTGTTGAACTTCTTTTTGTTAGTTTTGGCCCATCTCTCTAATCTGTCAAGATTGTTTTGAATTCTGCTCCTGTCTCATTAAGAGCCACATCTACTGTTTTCGTGTGGTGAGATGTGTTCCACACTGGGCATGCATACTCAGCAGCAGAGTAGCATAGCGCAAGGGCAGATGTCTTCACTGTGTCTGGTTGTGATCCCCAGGTTGTGCCAGTCAGCTTTCGTATGATATTGTTTCTAGTGCCCACTTTTTGCTTGATGTTCAGGCAGTGCTTCTTGTAGGTCAGAGCACGGTCCAGACTCCCAGGTATTTGGGTGTGCTGCAATGCTCCAGTGGGATTCCTTCCCAGGTAATAATCCTCAGAGCTTGGGATGCTTGTCTGTTCTTGAGGTGAAAGGCACATGTCTGTGTTTTAGATGGATTAGAGATCAGCCGGTTTTCCCTGTAATAGGCAGTTAGAGCACCTAGAGCTTCCAGAGAGCTTCTGTTCAACTATCTCAAAGCTCCCTGCTTGAGCAGTAATGGCACGATCATCAGCATAGATGAAACCCTTCTGGCAGTGGCTGGTCATTTGTGTAAATATTGAACATTGATGGAGTGAGCACGCTCCCCTGAGAAGCAACCAGAGGCAATTTCAGTTGACTTCATATATTATTCCTCGTTAAACCTATTTTTGCAGCTGTTGATGTCTACAAATCCCAAATCAGAACACATTGGCAAAACATTCCTTCTGGCTACAATTCACTCTGAAATCGAGATGTTCTTGCCTAATGCAATTTCCTTCTCTTTCAGATCCAGAAGATGTTGACTGTAGTCCGCCTCTTCATCATGTGAGTTTCAAGCATAATTTTCTCTTAGTTTTGGACAACGGTTTATAGAATCTGCAGTCTGAAAAAAGTGAATAGCCCCCCACATTTGTGTCGCCTGAGGCCTTGTCACCAGAATTTGTAAACAGTGCTTTCGGACTATACCTTGCAATAATCTCCCAACTAGCGTGGCCGCTAGACAATGATGTCATTAGGGTTGGGATCACCCAGTGCTGTTTTCACACCCCATACCCTCAAGTGGTGGTGCAAGAGTGGAATGGGGTATTATTAAGAGTTATTATTATTAGCCAGGTAATTATAAATATAATTATATAATATTTAATAATTATTATAATTAATTTATATCATATTTAATAATTATAATTATTAATTTATATAATATTTAATAATTATAATTATTAATTTAATTATAATTATTAAATTAATAATTATAATTATTAGCCAGGCCAGCTGAGAGAATAGAATAAAGTATGCTGGAAATGGATATACTGGCTGACAGGTACTATTTGTGTGAAATAATTACGGGATAACATTGTTTATTATGTTGTCAAAGGCTTTCGTAGGCAGAAGCACTGGGTTGCTATGAGTTTTAGTATTAAAAAATTCCAAAATCAGGACAGTAAATAAAGAGCAACATTCAAAAGCCACGGGAATTCCAGACAAGAATCAATCAGGGCCAGCTAACACCTCCCAACAAAGGATCCCCCAGGCAACAACCAGCCAGGTTTTGAAGTTGCAAGGCCCCTTCCACACAGCAGCAAAAGTATGATAGCTGGGACCCAATGCCGAGACAGCGCAGCGAGTGAGAGACTCAAGTGCGACAGTCGTGGCAAGATAGTTTGCCAGAAAGGGGGTGGGGTGGGGGGACAACAAACAACCAAGCATAGTGCTTAAAGCTATCCAGATATCATATGCAAACAGGTTCAAATATGTAATGCCTTTACTTCTCTAATTCTGACCCACGTTGCGCAACCAGCATTGGGTCCCAGCTATCATACTTTTGCCCACACAGCTGTATAAAATCGCACATTATCTGTTTTGAACTGGGTTATATGGCAGTGTGGACTCAGATAACCCAGTTCAAAGCAGATATTATGGATTATCTGCCTTTATCTTCTGTGTTATATGGCTGTGTGGAAAGGCCCTTCACTACCATGGCTCAATGCCATGGGATGCTGGGAATTGCAGTTCTCCTGCATTATGTGGCAGTTTTAAAAGGGCTCTTTAGTCCAGGAACATGTTGATAGTACTGTTGATACTGAAGCAAGATTGTGTCCAGAGCATCGCTTCTTCTCTACGAAGCTATATTTGGCATAAACAGAGTATCACATCAAAATCCATTCTGAAGTAGGAGCATCACTTAGTCTAAATCCTTTTTTTAGTTCAGTCTTTCAACAAACGACTCCCCCAGGCAGGAATCAGCCAGTCTTTGAAGTTGCAAGATATTTAGTACTAATCAAGGTGGCCAATTGCAACATTCACACTTGTCTCCAACAAACAAGAGTTCTTTCTTCCACCCTGGACATTCCACAGATATATAAACCTTACTTGCCTAGTTTTCAACAACCTCTGAGGATGCCTGCCATAGATGTGGGTGAAACATCAGGAGAGAATGCTTCTGGAACATAGCCATACAGCCCGGAAAGCTCACAGCAACCTAGTAGTTCAAATATGTAACGTCTTCGCTTCTCTAATTCTGACCTGCGTCACGCAACCAGCATTGGGTCCCAGCTATCATACTTTTGCCCACACAGCTGTATAAAATCCCACATTATCTGCTTTGAACTGGGTTATATGGCAGTGTGGACTCAGATAACCCAGTATCTCCATCTGAATTCCTAAGATGTTTGGTTTTCTCTCAGGTTTCCAATCCAGACGAGAAAGGCCTGGAGGCAGGAAATTCCATCAGTGATGGGAGCCTCAACGTTTCCACCCACAGCAGGGAAAACATCATAGATGTCTCAGAAACTGGCAAAGAAGCACCAGAGGATCGGGAAGCCATCAGTTTCATAGGTGCTCTCCGAATACCGGTGAGTACAACCCTGTAGGAAATATTGCCAACTGAACCATTAAATCTTTGAGTTTGAAGGGGTTTAAGGGCCATCTAGTTCAACTGGCCTCGTCAATGGGCCTTCCATTCTCATCACACTCAGCAGATTTGGTAAGAACTACATCCAAGCATCAAGGTCTTTGGAGTTACTTATATTTTGATTAACTTTGAAAGAAAGGGAACTGAAAAACAGAAACATAGTCTGGTGATACTATGAAATTATTTATTTATTTATTTATTTACAGTATTTATATACCACCTTTCTCACTCCTGGGGGGGGGGGGACTCAAAATGGTTTACACATAAATAATGGCAAGATTCAGTGCCTTCCATTGGGCACCGATACGATTCCAATACAAACAATTACAACAGTAATACCCAATTGTCAGACTACACAGAGAAGCCATTGAAATCCACAAGCATGTGGACAATTTCAACAGAAAGGAGGAAACCATGAAAATGAACAAAATCTGGCTACCAGTATTAAAAAAAACTCTAAAATTACAACAGCAAAACAACAGAGAGGAAACAATCTGGGACATCTAATCACCTCTCAACAAAAGATTTCTCCAGGTACTAACAAGCTACACCAAACAATAACCAGGCCATCAAATGCTAATCATAGAATCATAGAATCAAAGTGTTGGAAGAGACCTCATGGGCCATCCAGTCCAACCCCCTGCCAAGAAGCAGGAATATTGCATTCAAATCACCCCTGACAGATAGTCATCCAGCCTCTGTTTAAAATCTTCCAAAGAAGGTGGTCAGCTGAATCATTCACACTTAGCTCCAACAGACAAGAGTCCTTTGTCCCACCCTGGTCATTCCACAGATATATAAACCCTTTTTCCTAGTTCCAACAGACCTCACTGCCTCTGAGGATGCTTGCCATAGATGCAGGCGAAACGTCAGGAGAGAATGCCTCTAGAACATGGCCATATTGCATTAAAACAATAAAACAGTCTCATCAATCAAATCACCATTCCAGTCAAGATCCCTCTAAAATGCTACATACATCAATTGTCCAAAGGTCTGGTCCCAGAACCATTATTTTAATTTTTTTCTATAACCCAGGAGGGAGAGAGCGGATCTTACCTCATTTGGGAGTGTGTTCCATAGGCAGGGGGCCACAGCCGAGAAGGCCCTGTCTCTCATCCCTGCCAGACGCATTTGTGCTATTGACGGGAGTGAGAGCAGGGACTCCCTGGATGATCTTAGATTACAAGGGTGGATGCGTTCGGACAAGTAAGATGGGCCAGAACCATATAGAGCTTTATAGGTCAAAACCATCACTTTGAATTGGGCTCGGAGATGGACCGGCAGCCAGTGGAGCTGGCATAGCAGGGGGATGGTATGCTCCCTGTATGTCGCCCCAGTTAGTAATCTGGCTGCCACCCATTGGACTAGCTGAAGTTTCCGAACCGTCTTCAAAGGCAGTCCCACGTAGAGCGTGTTGCAGTAATCTATTTGGGATGTAACCAGAGCATGGACCACCGTGACCAGATCAGACTTCCAAAGACCATCTTAGCAAGCAAAAGTCCAAAAGTGGCAGACTAAACCCCAGAACCTCAATCAATGGCTAGTACCAAATGAGAGGCACCCTCCTGTGCACACAGAAAACTGGGCAACTTGGAAGGCACTGAACAGACTGTGCTCTGGCACCACGAGATGCAGAGCTAACCTTAAGAAATGGGGCTACAAAGTGGAATCCACGGCATGCGAGTGCGGAGAAGAACAAACCACAGACCACTGACTACAATGCAACCTGAGCCTTGCCACATGCACCGTGGAGGACCTTCTTATAGCAACATCAGAGGCACACCAAGTAGCCAGCTACTGAACCGGTGTCTAGCTGCTGTGTCGGACTGGATGAGAGCTAACAAATTGAAACTGAATCCAGACAAGACAGAGGTCCTACTGGTCAGTCGTAAGGCCGAACAGGGCATAGGGTTACAGCCTGTGCTGGACAGGGTTACACTCCCCCTGAAGACGCAGGTTCGCAGCTTGGGAGTGATCCTGGACTCATCGCTGAGCCTGGAACCCCAGATCTCGGCGGTGGCCGGGAGAGCTTTCGCACAATTAAAACTTGTGCACCAGTTGCGCCTGTACCTTGGGAAGTCTGATCTGGCCACAGTGGTCCACGCTCTTGTTACATCCTGAATAGACTACTGCAACGCATTCTATGTGGGGTTGCCCTTGAAGACTGTTCGGAAACTTCAACTGGTCCAGTGGGCGGCAGCCAGATTACTCATCGGAGCGTCATACAGGGAGCACACTACCCCCCTGCTGTGTCAGCTCCACTGGCTGCCGGTTCAGTTCCGAGCGCAATTCAAAGTGCTGGTTTTGACCTACAAAACCCTTTACGGTTCCGGTCCAGTGTATCTGTCCGAACGTATCTCCCTCTACGTCCCACCCTGGAATTTGAGATCATCTGGGGAGGCCCTGCTCTCGACCCCACCGCTATCACAAGTGAGGCTGGTGGGGACGAGGAGCAGGGCCTTCTCAGTGGTGGCCCCTCACCTGTGGAACTCACTCCCGGGGGAAATTAGGGCATCAACATCCCTCCTCTCCTTCATGAGGAAAGTAAAGATGTGGTTGTGGGACCAGGCCTTTGGGCAATCTGACAACTAGATAAGGACAAGCAGACGATTAGGACTGACAGTGGAAATGTGGAAATTGGACTATGAGATAGCGATCGCTGACCATCAATGAGGAGTAATTGGGTTTGTATTGGTTTTATTGGTTTTATTGTTGTAATGCAGGAATGGTTGTTTAACTGTTAATTGATGCTATTTGTTTTATTACTGTTATGTGATGCTGGCATCAAATTGTGCCTTTGTAAGCCGCCCTGCGTCCCCTTCGGGGTGAGAAGGGCGGGGTAGAAGTAACCGAAATAAATAATATAAATAAATACTGCTCAAAGGACATTTAATAGAATGCCAAGTTTTCAAACCTTGTGTGTGTGCGTGTGTGTGTTTTACATACAATACAACTGTTTGGTTCGCTCCTGACATGGTAAATAAATATGACATTCAAGGGATCTGAGGAAAAAGTAACCAACCAGCGTACTTTAAAAAATGCAATGTTCCATGCTGTGGTATACAGTATGAGTAGGGAAATGGTAGAGCAGGGGTTCCCAACCTGTGGGTCTCCAGATGTTTTGGCCTTCAACTCCCAGATATACTTACAGCTGGTAAACTGGCTGGGATTTCTGGGGGTTGTAGGCCAAAACACCTGGGCACCCACAGGTTGAGAACCACTGTGGTAGATGCCATCATGTCTGTTTTGGCTTTCCAGACCATTTTTCCAAATTGTTGATGGATTTCCATCCCCTTCCCTCTCTCCTCTTCAGGGCGTGGTGGAGTTCTCCTTGTGCCTCTTGTTTGCCAAACTGGTCAGCTATACTTTCCTCTACTGGCTGCCCCTCTACATCGTGAATGTGGGTAAGTTACAAAAATGATATCATATCACCAAGAATTCTTATTAGAAGGTTATACCTTCATTTTGCCCCCACCTCATCACCACTCCTGTTTGGTGTCAATAGGTTTTTCTTCCAAAACAAACAGGAAGTGTGAATAGATTTTGATTGGGAACCCAGCAGAGGGCAAAAGCCTCCTTTGCTTTCTCTGTGGTTCCAATTTCAAATGGTGGTGGTGGTGGTGGTTATTATTAATTATCCTGCTTTCCTCTCTTAAATGGGGCTCAAAGCAGCTACGAGAGTTGAATGAAAAGTAATGCCTCCAGTGTCCTCAAAAGATGGCAGTACTGATATGTGGCAGGTACTGGCTTATTCAGTAGACTCTCCTCTACAGTTCTATTTTGGTGGGAAGCCTTAATATTGAATGGTTGTGTTGTTAAAGTGAGAAGTATGGAACCCTGCGCTGATGGTTGGTCAATTTATTTATTTATTTATTTATTTACTTCATTTGTTGACCGCCGCTCTCAGCCCTGGGGCGACTCGCGGCAGTGTACAACATATAAAAACAGTCTACAAAACATACCATAAATCAACAATTAAATTACACATTAATCTAAATCACAGTAATAAATCCGCGCCATCACAACATAGAGAACATAGCCAATCTCATAATCCAAGGTCCATTCCAGATGTCATTACCAGATTCGTGTGGGTCTCAATCAAATGCCTTCCCGAATAGCCAGGTTTTTAGGCCCCTACGGAAGGCCATAAGGGAGGGCGCCTGTCTAATGTCAGCAGGGAGGGCGTTCCACAGCCGAGGGGCCACCACCGAGAAGGCCCTCTCTCTCGTCCCCGCCAGACGTGCCTGTGAGGCAGGCGGGATCGAGAGAAGGGCCTCCCCGGAAGATCTCAAGGCGACTTAAGCAATGTGCAGTCATTGGATTCTTGACAGCAGAAGGTGTCACCCCAAAGCAGATTCATCAGAGAATGCAAGCTGTTGATGATGATTGTGTTGATGTGAGTACTGTGCATCACTGGGCACATTCAACATCTACATTAGACCCCTTGCTAGTTTGGCTCGGAGTTTCAGCCTAGACTGCTATCAATATGCGGACGTCACCCAACTTCTTCTGCACTTGGAGCCTGGAGCAACGTCAATACCAGACAATTTCACCTTATGTTTGGAGGCTCTGTCGAACTGGCTACGTGCTAGTAGATTGAAGGTGAACCCGGCGAACACTGAGATTCTCTGGCATGGCCGCTCGATAGTTCTGACCCATTTGCTACCCACCTTCGATGGTGCTGCCCTATCTCCTTCTCCTACTGTTAAGAGCTTGGGTGTCGTTTTGTATTCGCAACTGACAATGGAAGCTCAGGTCACTGCTGCCAGCAAACAGGCCTTTTTCAATCTACAACAAGTGAGGCAATTGGTACCCTAACTATCTGATGAGACTGGCAACAGTCACCCATGCCACGGTCACGTCTAGGCTGGACTATTGCAACGCCCTGTATGTTGGTCTTCCGATGTCTATGACCCGAAAGCTCCGTATTGTTCAGAATGCGGCAGCCAGGTTACTCACAAGAACACCCATGAAATGCCATATAACTCCAGTGCTGCAGCATTTGCATTGGCTTCCAACTGATTACCATGGTCTATATAAGATGCTAGTTCTGACCTTTAAAATTCTTTACGGCCAGGGTCCATCATACCTTAGGGATCGCCTCTCCTTCTCCCATCGTCGGAGGTCGCAACGACCATCCCAATGTGACTTACTTTATATACTGGGTCCTAGAGAAGTGCACTTGGAAAGGACCAGACGCAGAGCTTTTTCTATTTCTGCCCCTGCCTTGTGGAATTCCTTGCCGCCCTATATGAGAGCCATGCATGAGTTAGGGCTTTTTACCCCAGTACTTAAGACCTGGCTTTTTACTAGACCTTTTGATCTGTGTTAATTTTATCAATACCTGTATGTATGTATTTTTATCCTTTACAATTTTATCCTTTATCCTATACAGTTCCGGTCCAGCGTACCTATCCGAACGCGTCACCTTCTAGGTCCCACCCCGGAGTTTGAGATCATCTGGGGAGGCCCTGCTCTCGACCCCATCGCTATCACAAGTGAGGTTGGTGGGGACGAGGAGCAGGGCCTTCTCAGTGGTGGCCCCTCACCTGTGGAACTCACTCCCGGGAGAAATTAGGTCATCAACTTCCCTCCTCTCCTTCAGGAGGAAAGTAAAGACATGGTTGTGGGACCAGGCCTTTGGGCAATCTGACAACTAGATAAGGACAATCAGACGATTAGGACGGACAGGACTGACAAAGTGGAATTGGAAACTGGACTATGAGATGGCGAATGCTGACCGTTAATGAGGTGTAATTGGTTTTAGTGGTTTTATTGGCTTTATTGGTTTTATTGTTATAATGCAGAAACTGTTTGTTAACTGTTAATTGCTGCTAGATTGTTTTATACTACTGTTATGTGATGTTGGCATCGAATTGTGCCTTTGTAAGCCACCCTGAATCCCCTGCGGGGTGAGAAGGGCGGGATAGAAGTAACCGAAATAAATAAATAAAATAAATCGCCTAGGGCATCTTGGATGGAGGGTGATTAATAAGTAATAAAATGATGATGATGATGATGATGATGATGATGAGTAAGTTTAAAGATGTTGAAGTGACACTTTCTGCTATCAAGAATTCAATGACTGCACATTGTTTAAGTTGCATTGACCGACCATCTGCGCAGGGTTCCATACTTCGTACTTTAACAACACAACCATTCAATGCTAAGACTTTCTGCCAAAATGGCACTGTAGAGGAATGTCTACTGAGCAAGCCAGTACCTGCCGCATCCCAGTACTGCCATCTGTTGAGGAGTTACGAAGGTGGAGGCATTACTTTTTATTCAACCCTCGTATTACCAGCAAGTCTCTGTTACATACATACATGTTCAGTTGCTAGTTGCATGAATAGCATTACATGTTACTTTGGCCTTCTTTCTACATCTTTATTAATGGTTGAATGTGAAGAGCTGCTACACATCATGGTAGGTTACTAATTAAAGGATCTAGCCCATTGCTATTGGTTCTGGCCATACAGACCTTCTGTATGTAAAGGATGCTCTCTGCATTTGTCCACATTGCCTTTGGATCCTTTCTGCTCCTAAAGCCCTTTCCTTGTGTTTTTTTTCTTTTCCACAGCTCATTTATCTGCAAAAGAAGCTGGAGATATGTCCACCCTCTTCGATGTCGGTGGCATAGTTGGTACGTTTGATTGATCTTCATATCTGTTTTCCATGTAAATCTGGGAGGAGAGGGAGAGACAGGAACCTGTGGAGACGGATGGGTGAGCTAATCTCCAGTGGAGGAAGGCTATCACAAGTAGAATGGAAAGGAACTGGACCATGACACTGACCCCACACACTATATACTTCTCTATCACCATCTTTTTCACTAGCTCTCCCTCTTCACAGTCCACATTTGTAATTTAATCTACATCCTACTTTTCTCTAAATATGGGACCAAAAGGTAGCTTCCAATAGAAGTTAAAACAAAACAGCTAAAACAAAATACACCACAAAAGTTTAAAATCCATTAAATAACCAATCCACTGAAAACATTGTGGAAAATGAAATGTGATTTTGTCATGCAGGAGGCATCCTGGCTGGTCTCATCTCTGACTACACAGGTGGCCGGGCCACCACATGCTGTACGATGCTGGTTTTGGCTGCTCCCATGGTGAGTATCCCTCAAGGGCCCCCAGATACTGCAACGTTCTGCTTGGGATTGCCAGGTAGCCCTTATGAGGAGAAATACACACACACTCCCTTTTGATAGTTGGAAGATTTTCCTTTAACTTAGACTGAACAAGATGCTAACCTCTACACTTGTTTTTTGTGGTTGTTGATGAAGTACATAGAGCAGTAGTTCCCAACCTGTGGTCTGTGGACCACCAATGGTCCACAAGAAAGAAAATATGTAGCCTTAGCATTATTACACCGTTGCCTCGAAACCACGTGGCAATGAGAGACTGGTCTCACGAAGCCCTCTTATAAAATCCTCAAACTCTCTTTTCAGAATATATTGGGAACTGAGGTTCAGGTACCTGAGCCATCAAAAAGAGACATCTAAATGCCTTACCAAACTAACAATTCCAGGATCCTATAGGCTGGAACTATGGCAGTTCTAGTATTAGGAAAAAGTTATATATGTAATAAGAAATTCAATGTGCAGATTTGATAAATGTGAATTTAATATGATGTGTGGGAATGAATGGAAGAATGGAATATTAATGGATGGATGGAGCTGATAATTTTGGAGACACCAGTGTAATATTAAGGCCTGCGATGACTAACTACCTGCTTGCTGGACTGTAATTAAAAGTTGCTAATAAGAACTGAAAAGTAAACTCTGATAAGAATTGGGACAGTGATAACAGAAATGTTTACAATGTTAAGAAGGATGTCAACATAAGATCAGCACCAATCAAGAAGATAAACATCTGGCCAGGAAACTGAGATGGATCCAAGATGGAAGATGTCTATCATTAATTTACAACTTTGGGACTACATCAGCGGAATATCCCTATAAAAGACTCAATCTAATAATGCTCAAAGTGTGGCAGACCTGAGGAGTCTGCACCCCCCTCCCCCCCCGCTATGCTCTGCTCCATGGGAAGGACAGAGATGGTGTATTTGTAGAGTGGCAGATTGGCAAGGGAGCAGTCTGGTCACTTTGGGGTTTCTTTCTCAAGGGAAGAGGAAGAAGTGTGCTTTTGGAGTCTTAGATTTTGTGCAGGAAGTCAGGTTCTGCTGTATGGAAAACACAGATCTGATCCGTGGTGTTGTGCTTAGGGAAAGGATGCATTTTGGAGTTTTGAATTTATGAAGTTATGGAACTATGCATTGGCAAGTTGCAGGAAAGCAGGGTCTGGCCTAACAGGTGATTCTCCAAGGAGGGAGAAAAGGATGTGGTTGTTGCAACCCAGAGCAGGAAACGAGACCCTAAGACAACAATCCACCACACTTGACTGTGGGAAAAACAATCCCTTTTTATTGATGAAAAATGGTTACAAAATAGAGGAAAATGCAAAGTCAAAAAGCCACAGTAAAAATCAGAAATATCCATGAACGAGATCAAAAACCAAAAGCAACACTGTAAAATCCTGGAACCTGTTAGCAATCCACTAACCGTACTTGGTGCACTAGAAGCCTCTTGGGATGAAGGCCACGGGAAACGGGAGATCTGCCAAGGTAATGCCTCAGTCTAAAACGATGCCTGATCTAAAGAGTCAACCCGGCAGGAGGCACTTAAAGCCGAGGAAACTGTTTCGTGACACGCCTCCAGGCTTTGAAACCCTTGTTTCTTTTTCTTTTAATCTGGTTGACCTTCGCAGACTCTGCGATTCACCCCTGTTTTTCCAAATCTGTCCTCTTCTATCCTCATTAAGGATCCCAGGTGTTAGCTTCTCTGGAGAGCTATCACCGCTTGGCTCTGAAACATTCTCATGAGAATGTGTACTTTCACTTTCCAAGCCTGCAGGAGTTTCTTCTACACTGACCTCAGAATCAACATTTTCATTAGCATCAGGAAATACATTTTCAGTAGCATCAGGAAATACAATCAGAGAATCAGGTTCAGGTTCACACCCAGGCTGAAGCCCAACAGTGGTAATATTTGGGTGCATGAGGATGAATGCATGCACATGTGTGTGAATGTTGAGTGAAAATGTAATTCTCTTTTGCTTGTTTGTTACCCATGTAATTGTAAATCCAATGTAGTTGCATAGAAACTATATGTCTGTATGTCTAAATGTTTTTCTGTTTTTCTCTCACACTGGAAATTGCAATAAAAAGTCATTCATGATATATAGCATAAATGTTCAAGGGATTAATTGTGTAGCCACTGAGTTTCTATGGATGAAGAAACATTTTTAGTTTGGAAATTCTTAACTTGCTTCTCTGCTTTTTCTTCTAGCTGTTCTTATACAACTCTATTGGCCAGAACGGATTTGCCACATCTATAGGTAAGGCAGGCCATTGAACATCTTCACATCCTGGCGCAGGGCTTGTCCTTGGGTGCATAGACATTTAGGTTAAATAGTTGTCAATAGGGACATAGCTTGCTCAGCAAAATGTCTCCTCTCCCCATTTGCAGTCATGCTGATTATCTGTGGCGGCCTCGTCAATGGGCCTTACGCTCTCATCACAACGGCAGTGTCAGCTGATTTGGTAAGAACTGCATCCAAGCATCAAGGTCTTTCCTTTTACGAACCTACACGGTCCCTTCAATCTTCTGGAGAGGCCCTTCTCTCGCTCCTACCCAAACGCAAATGCTACTTATGGGGACGAGGGAGATGGCCTTCTCTGTGGTGGCCCCTCGGCTCTGGAACTCGCTCCCCAGAGAAATTAGGCAAGCTCCCACCCTGGCAGTCTTTAGGAAGACCCTGAAAACTTGGTTGTTCCAGTGTGCCTTCAATGACTGAATGAACAATAATCCCTGACCTGACCAAACACTGCAAAAATGCCCTTGGAAGCACTTTATTTTACCTGCTAGTGCAATTCAACCCTATTTTCTTCCCCCAGATGCCCTGTCCAGATACATTACATTGCTCTCTCACCCAATGTTTTAACTTTTAATCTTTGTAACCAGCCCTGCCCACTGTGATCATTTTTAAGGTGTTCAATTATTGTGATTTTATATTGTTTGTTGTGCTTATTTATATTGTTTTTTTGTATTTTATTTATTTTCTTTATATTTTACTGTTGTATTCCTATGTTGTACATTTGTATTGCTGTATTGTTGGGCTTGGCCTCATGTAAGCCGCCCCGAGGCCCCTTGGGGAGATGGTGGCTGGTTATAAATAAATAAATAAATTATTATTATTATTATTATTATTATTATTATTATTATTATTATTATTATTCGAAACAAAGTACTATCTATGTCTGTTGTCCAAAAGCCTGGTCCCAGAACCACTACTTCAATTTCTTCCTAAATGACAGGAGGGACGGAGCCAATCTTACCTCTGTGGGAAGCGAGTTCCATAGGCAGAGGGCCACAGCCGAGAAGGCGCTGTCTCTCATCCCCGCCAGATGTATTTGTGACACCAGCGGGAGCGAGAGCAGGGCCTCCCCGGATGATCTTAAACTGTCAGGTGGGACGAAGAGGGATGTTCTATATTACTTGGAAAGGTGTATGTATGTCTGTATACACTCGCCTATGATACACACACACACTCAGAGCATGTTAAAATGCATTCACATATATCAAAATTGCCTGGAACTTTATTCATTTTTTCTTCTCCTCCACCACAGGGCACTCATGAAAGTCTCCAAGGAAATGCAAAGGCTCTTTCCACCGTTACCGCCATTATTGATGGAACTGGATCTGTAGGTCAGTTGCTGGAGAACATGGGAGCTGCATTGGCAGCTGATGTTTAGGAGCCAACTGTTTTGAGAAGCCTTAGGGTGACAGTGGTCTGTCCCATATTTATTTATTTACAGTATTTATATTCCGCCCTTCCCACTCTGCAGGGGACTCAGGGCGGATTACAATGTACATATCCATGGCAAACATTCAATGCCATAGACACACAACATATATAGACAGAGACAGAGGCAATTTAACATTCCAACTTTTCTTGAGGGTATTCTGGCTACCAGGGGAGCTGTCGCTTCACCGTCCATTTGTGACACTGACGAAGTACTTCCTCATTCTTTGTAGGCTTGCTGGAGATTTTTATGGCATCGTAAATTAGTTAAATTAGTCTCCCTGCGTAGGCGGTAGCTAAATATCCTACTTGACAGATGCAACTGTCTTTCCGGCTGCAAAGGTTGATAGCAAGCTACAAAAATTAGTCGGACACTCACTCTGACCCAGGCTGGCTTCAAACTCATGACCTTTTGGTCAGTAGTGATCTTAATGCAGCTGACTCACAGCCAGCTGTGCCACAGTCAGCATCGTATAGGGTGAACATTGATCAGCAAAGTCATGCTTGGAACATAGCACTATCTCAGTCAGCTAGAATCATTAGGTTGGTGTTGAGATCTGAATTCTCCCTGCAAATTGAAAAATGTTGGTTACTCAGACCCACCTTTCATAGCATCAGGAACTGGGCTCTTCTCCTGCCTGCTTTCTTGCTGAGTCTTTGCATTGTTCTCATTTTGTTCTGCAGGTGCCGCCCTTGGACCCTTGTTAGCAGGAGTAATTTCACGTTCCAGCTGGGACAATGTCTTCTACATGTTGATATCGGCCGATGTCCTGGCTTGCCTAGTGAGTTCATTTTGCTAAACTGTATCAATATATTTTTGTGATTGCCCTTGTATGTTGCCTATGAGAAGCTCGCCCTGTCAGTGAACATCGAGACAACCAAAGTGCTCTTCCAGCAGTCACCAACCAATCCCTCTGCAATGCCAGAAATACAGATGAATGGTGTAATATTAGAAAATGTTGACTATTTCTGCTGCCTTTGCAACCACCTCTCCAAAAGTCAACATGGACACTGAAATACAACACCGCCTGAGCTCTGCGAGTGCAGCCTTTTTCCAAATGAAGCAGAGAGTGTTAGATGGCTGAGACATCCATAGGGATACCAAAGTGCTTGTTTATAAAGCTATTGTCCTCCCAACCCTGCTATATGCCTGTGAAACGTGGACTATCTTCAGATGTCACATGAAACTCACATGAAGCATTGAAACTCACATGAAACATTGAAACTCACATGAAACTCACATGAACCATCAAAGTTGCCTCTGAAAAATCCTGCAATTTTTGGGGGAAAACAGGCAGACCAGCAGCACTGAAGCGATGGTCCTACACCATTAACTCTGCTGGACCGGCCACATTGTCCAAATGCCCGACCACCATCTCCCAAAGCAGTTGCTCTACTCTGAACTCAAGAATGGATGCTATTTGGATTGAAAGCTGCCTTTTGGGCCTGGGCTCTTAAGGAGGTTGAAAGAAGGATCTCATTTCAGAGAGTGGAAAAAACCAGTGCCAACATCAGCAAGACCTGTAATTGTAATATTGGGTTGTTGTAGGTTTTCAGGCTATATGACCATGTTCTAGAAACATTCTCTTCTGACGTTTCGCCTGCATCTGTGGCAAGCATCCCCAGAGGTTGTGAGGTCCTCACAACCTCTGAGGATGCTTGCCATAGATGCAGGTAAAATGTCAGGAGAGAATGCTTCTAGAACATGGCCATATAGCCTGAAAAACCTACAATAACCCAACATCCCTAGTTAATTTAGAGGACTCCAAACTTGGCATTTACTGAGTAATTTCTCAGTCAATGGCTTAACAGAATCATAGTTTTAAAAAAAAAAGCAGAGGCAATACTAAATATTAATATATCATGTGACCATGGTTCCTAGTGCTCTAAAGAAGCTTTGGAGCCAACTTTTAAGATGGTGCATGGGCCACATACTTCTTTCAATGCATGTCAGCGTGCTGGAAGAAGCAAAGACCACCAGCACTGAAGGGATGGTCCTCCACCATCAACTCCACTGGACCGGCCACATTGTCCGGATGGCCGACCACCGTCTCCCAAAGCAGTTGCTCAACTCCGAACTCAAGAACAGAAAACAGAATGTTGGTGGGCAGGAAAAGAGATTTAAAGATGGGCTCAAAGCCAATCTTAAAAACTGTGGCATAGACACCTAGAACTGGGAAGCCCTGGCCCTTGAGCGCTCTAGCTGGAGGTCAGCTCTGACCAGCAGTGCTGTAGAATTTGAAGAGGCACGAATGGAGGGCGAAAGAGAGAAACATGCCAAGAGGAAGGTGCATCAAGCCAACCCTGACCGGGACCGCCTTCCACCTGGAAACCGATGCCCTCACTGCAGGAGAACATGCAGGTCAAGAATAGGGCTCCACAGTCACCTATAATGGACCCACTGCCAGGTCACCGAACTTGGAGGACAATCTTACGCAGACAACAAAGGGATCTCCTAAGTGATGTTGCCTTCTGGCTCAGGTGCAAAGTTTTGGGGGACAGCATACGCTGCTTATGCCCACTGATGGCTCAGCTTAAGCTTCTACCTATGTCATCAATGCCCAGGTACACTGCAAGTCTTTCACAACAGCAGCCACAAAGACTAACTTTGTGTGTGTCTTCTGCTTTCAGTTGCTGTCACGTGTGGTGTTCAAAGAAATGCGAGGATGGTGCGGCAGCTACACAAGGAAAAGAGGGTAGGTGTTGACAGAACCACAAAGCCTTGGAGCTCTTCCAGGAGTTGTTTGTCATATAATAGAATAGAATCTGTTTTCAAGGTCTGAATTGTACACCAATGATTCAAAACATCCAGCCCAATTTCCCCAGTTTGGGCTTCTCTAACCTAATACACTACATATCTCCGCCCATGCATTGGTTGTGTGTGATGTGATCAGTAATCCAAAACATTTGGTTATGAGAGCCTACTCCATAGATGTATCCTTATGTTAACTTTTCTGCCATTGCTCCTGCCACCTTTAATTTTACTGAATGTACTTGATACTTGCACTGAGCTGCTTTAGGAGATATTGTATTTGAATTGTGATGTGGTGGTCTTGGATTTACTTACCTATGCCAAAGCACCAAAGTGAAGATTTGACCAGGATGCTTAAAAAAAAAGGTTGACATCCCTAAAAAAGAAAGACCAGTGGGTTGCTGTGAGTTTTCCAGGCTGTATGGCCGTGTTCCAGAAGCATTCTCTCCTGACGTTTCGCCTATATCTATGGCAGGAATCCTCAGAGGTCCTCAGAAGACCTTACAACCTCTGAGGATCCCTGCCATAGATGTGGGCGAAACGTCAGGAGAAAATGCTTCTGAAACATGGCCATACAGCCCGGAAAACTCACAGCAACCTAGCGATTCTAGCCATGAAAGTCTTCGACAAGACAAGGAAAGACTACTCTGCCATGTTTCCTTAACCAATACTAACTGCAAACTTCTCCTGTATATGCCTTTGTAGCTCTTGTGTGGCCTTAACTCACCCAATAGTGTTGGATACAAAATAGTTTGCAGTGTGAGTATGTCCATCCCTTTTGTGTATGTCCATCCTTCCATTTAAGAGGGGAAATGTGCAAATTTCAGCCTATGATTTTTTTGTCTGTCTCTTTCCTGATTTCATCCTCCTTTGTGACATCTGTGAGCTAAGTAGGTTATTTCTACAGGGAGGTATTAGGACCCAACACATAAAAATTCAGAAAATGACATTGGATAGACCACATCAACTCTAGTTTCTGATACAAAGAATATGCCACCCAGTAGTCACCATCTGCTCACCCACAGAAAAACCATAGATAATAAGCCTTGACACTATGATGTAATATAATATATTGTATATATATATAGTATTTATAATATTATAATGTAATATAATATAATACTAATAATATGATATTATAATTATATATTTTATATTACATGTAATATTACTAATAATATTACAATATAATGGTATAGTATAATGTAGTAATACATAATAGTGATATTGTACTATGCTAATAATATAATTATTAGCAGTGGTGCAGTGGGTTAAAGCACTGAGCTTGTTGACCGAAAGGTCGCAGGTTCGAATCTGGGGAGCGGCGTGAGCTTCTGCTGTCAGCCCCAGCTTCTGCCAACCTAGCAGTTCAAAAACATGTAAATGTGAGTAGATCAATAGGTACAGCTCCGGCGGGAAGATAAGGGCGCTCCATGCAGTCATGCTGGCCACATGACCTTGGAGGTGTCTATGGACAACGCCAGCTCTTCAGCTTAGTAATGGAGATGAGCACCATACCCCAGAGTCGGACACGACTGGACTTCATGTCAGAGGAAAACCTTTATGTGTGTGTGTGTGTGTGTGTGTGTGTGTGTGTGTGTGTGTATGTGTATGTGTGTGTGTGTGTGTGTGTGTGTGTGTGTGTGTGTGTGTATATATATATATATATATATATATATCTTGTAAGCCACTCTGAGTCCCCTTTGGGGTGAGAAGGGTGGCATATAAATGTCATAAATAAATAAATAAATTTATTTCATGGGACCAGTTGCTCTCAGTGCAACGGTGTAGTAACAGTGAGGCTGTGGACCATATTTTAGTTCTTGCGGACCACTGGTGATCCACAGACCAGAGGTTGGGAACCACTTGTTTAAAGCATCCACAGATCCCTTTGGCCATCCACTTGCCCAGCCAAGAAAATGCCCATCTACATCTCCACAACTCTGAGGTCACTCAGAACTTCTTGGAGTAAATCCTGTGTTCCTTTAATCTGGATTGATGGCTCGAGGTAGCAGCTCCAGACATTCATCGTGTAGACTCCCCACAGCAGCTGAGCCATGTGTCCACTTCATTTTGGCCATATAGACATGGACTCATTAAGGCTCACCTAATAATAATAATAATAATAATAATAATAATAATAATAATAGGAGCCCCCGGTGGTGCAGTGGGTTAAAGCAGGTTCGAATCTGGGGAGAGGCGGATGAGCTCCCTCTATCAGCTCCAGCTCCTCATGCGGGGACATGAGAGAAGCCTCCCACAAGGATGATAAAAACATCAAATCATCCGGGCGTCCCCTGGGCAACGTCCTTGCAGACGGCCAATTCTCTCACAACAGGAGCAACTCCTGACATGACCAAAATAATAATAATAATAATAATAATAATCACCATCATCATCATCATCAACATCATCTTTATTCATTACCCCGCCACCATCCCCCCAATGGGAACTCGGAGCGGCTTACATGAGGCCAAGCCCAAATGACAATTAGAATAAAAAAACCCAAAAACACAAACCAAAAATGCGAACAATAAACAATAATATCATAGTTACACAAAACATATGAATACATAACAATATAAAAAATATGCACAGGCATAATAATAATGGGCGAGCTACATGTAGTGATTAAAAAAACAAACTAATTAAAACTAATTAAAAACTCGGGCGAGATAAAAGAGGGAAGCAGGCTCATTTTAGGGGGAGTTGTGGAATCAAGCTTTTTATTATTATTATTGTTATTATTAAACTTTATTTGTACCCCGCTAGCATCTCCCGAAGGACTCGATGCGGCTTACAAAGGCCAAGGCCTCAAAACACAACACAACAATACACTCAAAACAAATTAAAACAATTAAAGCAGTATTAAAACAACAAAACCACAGCAATAAACAATACATCAACAAGATAAAACTGGGCCAGGCCAGAGTAAAGGGTACAGGATTAAAAAGTGCTGATGTGACAGGTGATGTTATAGGGCAAGTGCAGTGTGCAGAGTGCGGCAGTCTTAAATTCTAATAAAGTGCTTCTGGGACTTGGTATTTGAGATTTCCTAGTCGGGGAAGGCACATCGGAACAGCCAGGTCTTCACATTCTTTCTGAAGACTGCCAATGTAGGGGCTTTCCCATGAGGGGGGATGTATACTCCAATGACAGAACTTTTTAGGGGGAGTTGTGGAATCAAGCTTTCCCATGAGGGGGGATGTATACTCCAATGACAGAACTTTGAGGCAGAGCAATCATGTGGGATAATATACCTACTCATCAAAGGCGCAGCCAGGTTGTAAGGTTCTTTTTGAAGATTTCTAGGGAAGGGCTTTCCTAATTTCTCCAGGCAATGAGTTCCAGAGTTGGGGAGCAAGACAGAGGAAAGTCTCCACAAGCAATAAGAAATCATTATTTTAGAAGGGCAAAGCACCAGAGCACTGGAATGCTAGATGTGTACACTAATTACTTTGTGGTGCTCAGTCTGGACCAGAGCACCACAGTCTGGACCCAGGCAGACATATTGTTAAAGCAACATAGGTCTCTACATGTCCTTAGGTTGCACTTCCAATAATCCCTCATTTTGGGCTAGACAGGATTGACTGCAAAGATACATAATGGGGACACATGGCTTGAGGGCAGTACGTGTGAAAAAGATCTTGGAGTCCTCGTGGACAATGAGTTAAACATGAGCCAACAATGTGATGCAGCAGCAAAAAAAGCCAATAGGATTTTGGCCTGCATCAATAGGAGTATAGTGTCTAGATCCAGGGAAGTCATGCTACCCCTCTATTCTACCTTGGTTAGACCACACCAGGTATATTGTGTCCAATTCTGGGCACCACAATTGAAGAGAGATATTGACAAGCTGGAATGTGTCCAGAAGAAGGCAACTAAAATGATAAAGGGTCTGGAGAACACGCCCTAGAAGGAGCAGCTTGAAGAGCTGGGCATGTTTAGCCTGAAGAAGAGAAAGCTAAGAGGAGACATGATAGCCATGTATAAATATGTGAGAGGAAGCCACAGGGAGGAGGGAGCAAGCTTGTTTTCTGCTGCCCTGGAGACTAGGACGCGGAACAATGGCTTCAAACTACAGGAAAGAAGAGATTCCATCTGAACAATAGGAAGAACTTCCTAATGGTGAGAGCTGTTCAGCAGTGGAACTCTCTGCCCTGGAGTGTGGTGGAGGCTCCTTCATTGAAGGCTTTTAAACAGGCTGGATGACCATCAGTCAGGGGTGCTTTGAATGTGATTTTCCTGCTTCTTGGCTTCAAACTACAAGAAAGGAGATTCCATCTGAACATTAGGAAGAACTTCCTGACTGTGAGAGCTGTTCAGCAGTGGAACTCTCTGTCCCAGAATGTGGTAGATGCTCCTTCTTTGGAAGCTTATAAAAAGAGGCTGTATGGCCATCTGTCGGGGGTGCTTTGAATGCAATTTTCCTGCTTCTTGGCAGGGGTTGGACTGGATTTCCCACGAGGTCTCTTCCAACTCTATGATTCTATGAACTGTAGAGCCCAAAATGACAGGTTTCCCTCTGTTCTGAAGCAACAAAGACACTTCGAGCACCTTAAATATAAATATAATAATAATAATACGTTATTTGTACCCCGCTACCATCTCCCCAAGGGACTTGGTGCTGCTTACATGAGGCCGAGCCCACAACACAACAATAAACAATAGCAACTGTAATACAAAACAATAAATAAACTCATAGGCAGAAAATAAGTAATAAACATTAACAATAACACGACACTTTACTTCTCATAAGTGCAGGACACTAACTAGAGTCGATTCCAACCTTTCCGTGCTGTATTTCTCTGTACCTTATTGTGTCCTAGCTCCCACCAATACTTTCCTTCCTGTGCTGACGCCTTTTAATGATTGTATAAAGACATAATAATAATAATAATAATAATAATAATAATAATAATAATAATAAATGATTTCCAGAGGAAAATTTTTTCAAGACAATCATACCTTGGAAAACGATCAGTCCTGCAAGCAAACTGTTTTTTTTCCCTTCCCAATCTTTCTCTGTATCTCTGTAGTCCTATATCAAGCTTTGTGGGCTCACGAATCACCCGCCCAATCTTTTGATTTGGTGTGCTTCGGAGAGAAAAAGAAGACAGTGGTCGTAATTTAAAGTGCTGGTTCTCAAAGCTGACAATAGTCAAAGGTGTGCTATAGCACATATGCACCAAACCTGTGTGCGCTCTTTTCCTTTATCTTAAGAACCCCGGTACCACTACATGTTGGTTGTATTTACAGGTCAAACACCTCTTTTTGAGTACGCATGCTCTGGGTCCAAAAGTCATGGTAAGTCCACAACACTGCTGCAAACCCATTGATAAGCCTCCTGGTTTCTGGTCTCTTTTTGGTGCCATTGGTTCAAAACTTCCTAATTCCTTTCTTGACCCTCAACCACCTTGGTTCGATTACACAGGGCTACTGGGCTTTACTCTCTCTTCTTGGTGATGTTTGGCTTCAAGGAGTGCAAAAAATTCAAGGCTTAAAAAAGAGAGCACTGTTCAATCATTTAATTTGCACTATTCTCTTGGCTTCTTGGTTTGTATTTGTATTGATTTCCCTTGGTATGAAATGGGGAAGGGTGAACCTAGAACAGGGAGTGTAGATGGTAATATTAAGTTATGATCAGGATGTAAAGTCTGAGAGGAACGTCTTCACATTCCTAGGTAACAAAGTAGCTGAATAGAGGTTTCATACCAGGTCTTTATATTTTGCTTACATTAGGGGGGTTGCTGGTGGTACAGCGGTTTAAACTGCTGAGGTGCTGAACTTGCTGACCAAAAGTCCGGCGGTTTGAGCTCCCAATGTTAGGCCCACCTTCTGCCAACCTATTTATTTTATTTATTTATTTATTTCCGGCACTTATACCCCGCCCTTCTCACCCCCAAGGGGGGACTCAGGGCGGCTTACACAACGAGGCACCATTCCGCGCCCATACAATTACAGTTATACAAAATGACAATCATAATKRAAACAATTAAAACAGTTATCATAGATAAAACCACAATGCAATTAACAATCAATAACACAACATAWAGAACAATTCACGTGTTCAGCATTCGTCTTTCCGGGTTCCAGATCCCATTCCATTATACCTTTCCTAGATAGTGTCAATTCTTTACCTGCTCATTTGACCAAACACTTGGTCCCACATCCATGTTTTGAGTTTTCTCCTAAAGGAGAGGAGTGATTTCCCGGGGAGCGAATTCCACAGGYAGGGRGCCGCCACCGAGAAGGCCCTGCTCCTCGTCCCCGCCAACCTCACTTGTGACACTGGCGGGGTCGAGAGCAGGGCCCCCCTGGCCGATCTTAAACTCCGGGGTGGGACGTAAAGGGAGATCCGTTCGGACAAATACACTGGGCCAGAGCCAATAAGCAACCGGATGGCCATTGTGTGAACAGAATATTGGATTAGATTGGATCAATCCAACATGGTTCTTGTATCCGGCTGCCATTTAGATCATGAAATAGAAAAACAAAACTGAGGAACTTTAGTTTAGCACTAACTTAGTTTAATACAGGCATTTCCTAAGTTACAAACAAGATAGGTTCTGTAGGGCTGTTCTTAAGTTGAATTTGTATGTAAGTCAAAGCAGATACATTTTAAGTGTAACTCCAGTCAAATATAGATAATATATGTTAGATAATAAACCTAGCAGTTCAAAAACATGCAATTGTGAGTAGATCAATAGGAAGATAATGGCGCTCTATGCAGTCATGCCGGCCACATGACCTTAGAGGTGTCTACGGACAACGCCAGTTCTTTGGCTTAGAAATGGAGGTGAGCACTGCCCCCAGAGTCAGACACAGCTAGACTTAATGTCAGGAAAAACCATTACCTTTGGGAGGATGCATTACTGCAAAACAGAATGCTCCTTTTCAGGGTCCCAAACAGCCAGACTCACCCTTTCGCAGATTTCATTTCTAACAGTCAAGAAGCATTACCTTCCAATGAATTTGAACCTCTGCAAATCTTGGGAGCCCCCAAGATCTTGTAATACCTCCATTTTAGTCACTGATGCCATTATTTAAGCTGTCTAGAGACCCCGGTGGAGCAGCAGGTTAAACTGCTGAGCTGCTGAACTTGCTGACCGAAAGGTCAGCGGTTTGAATCTGGGGAGCAGGGTGAGCTCCCACTCTTAGTCCCAGCTTCTGCCAACCTAGCAGTTTGAAAACATGCAAATGTGAGTAGATCAATAGGTATCGCTTCTGTGGGAAGGTAACAGCACTCCATGCAGTCATGCTGGACACAAGACCTTGGAGGTGTCTATGGACAATGCCGACTCTTTGACTTATAGGTGGAGATGAGCACCGCCCCCTAGAGTCAGACATGACTAGATTTAATGTCAAGGGGAAAACTTTACTAAGAAAGATAACTTGAAAAATGTACACTTTTGGCAGGGCCAATTTTTTTGTTGCCTTTTATTAGTAAAGCACAATGTACATCATGCACTAGATAGAGTGATAGGTAGATGAGATGAGATAGATCTATTATTTATTTATTTATTTATTTATTTACAGTATTTATATTCCGCCCTTCTCACCCTGCAGGGGACTCAGGGCGGATTACAATGTACATATACATGGCAAATATTCAATGCCAGAGACACACAACATATATAGACAGACACACAGAGGCTATTTAACATTCCAGCTTTTTCATGAGGGTATTCTGGCCACCAGAGGAGTTGTCGCTTCACCGTCCATTGGTGACACTGATGAAGTACTTCCTCATTCTTTGCATGCTTGCTGGAGATTTTTATGGTGCCGTAAATTAGCCTCCCCGCATAAGCGATACCTAAATTTCCTACTTAACAGATGCAACTGTCTTTTGGGCTGCAAAAGTTGACAGCAAGTTACACAAAATGGTTGGAAGCTCGCTCCAACCCAGGCTGGCTTTGAACCTTTTGGTCAGTAGTGATCTTAATGCAGCTGACTCCCAACTGTATACAAATGGGTTGTTGTAGGTTTTTTCGGGCTATATGGCCATGGTCTAGAGGCATTCTCTCCTGACGTTTTGCCTGCATCTATGGCAAGCATCCTCAGAGGTAGTGAGGTCATATATGCAAATGGTTTCATTATTACTAATATTATTTCATTTAGAGTCATCATAAAAGCTTGTAAAGAAGCTTATATAAAATCCATAGGACCCAAAATAGTATCATTTTAATGTGAGATTATCAGTGTCCTTATTTCAGAAAATGCTCAAAGACTGTATCCAAAGCTACATCTGTCTTGGAACCATTCTGAATACGTACCTATGTAGGTTCAACCTGGGTTCAGAGAAAGCAGTTCCTCCCTCCGCATAGGGCTGCAGTCTTCTGAGATGATGGTATTTCTAACCAATCTTCTTGGTTCTTTCAGCTTTAAGGAATTTTGACGTGATCCATCTGACCAGAGGAGGAGCCCCTTGGAAGCAACGAGGAAGAGTGTGGCTGAGAGGGTTGGTTTCCCTTCATCGCTCCCTCTCACAAGTCCACAGGAGGAATTCACGGAGCCAACATGGATCATGAACCAGAAACAAACTGAACTCTCATTCCAAGCATCAACCGAGTTGATCGTCGGCCGCATTTCCTATATTTTGTTTTTAAATGATGGGCAGAGGGGAGCAGGAAGAATGGTTTAGCAAGTTCAAGATGAAAGGAACGGTTGTCTTTTGTATCTGTGCCAAATCCCAAGGCCTCAGTTTTCAATCAGTTGCCAGCTGCATCCTTTTTATTACTGCTCTTTTTTATTATTATTATTACAAACGGTGCTGAACCAGTTGGTTGTTGGTGTCTGTCTGCTTAATACAGTTCCTCGTGTTGTGATGACTCCCAACCATAACATTATTTTCATTGCTACTTCATAACTGTCATTTTGCTACTGTCATCAATCGTCATGTAAATATCTGATATGCAGGATGTATTTTCATTCATTGGACAACATTTGGCACAAATACCCAACACGCCCACATTTGAATACTGGAGGGGTTGGGAGGGAGATTGATTTTGTCGTATTGTCAAAGGCTTTCATGGCTGGAATCACTAGGTTCTTGTAGGTTTTTTCGGGCTATAGGGCCATGTTCTAGAGGCATTTCTCCTGATGTTTCGCCTGCATCTATGGCAAGCATCCTCAGAGGTAGTGAGCCTCACTACCTCTGAGGATGCTTGCCATAGATGCAGGCGAAACATCAGGAGAAATGCCTCTAGAACATGGCCCTATAGCCCGAAAAAACCTACAAGAACCTATTGATTTTGTCATTTGGGAGTTGTAGTTGCTGGGATTTATAGTCCATCTACGATCAAAGAGCATTCCTAACCCCACCAATGATGGAATTGAATCAAACTTGGCACACAGAACTCCCATCACTAACAGAAAATACTGGATGTTTTTGGTGGGCATTCGCCTTGAGTTTTGAAGTTGTAGTTTACCTACGGAGCCCCCAGTGGCACCGTGGGCTAAACCCCTGTGCCAGCAGGACTGAAGACCAACAGGTCGCAGGTTCGAATCCAGGGAGAGGCGGATGAGCTCCCTCTATCAGCTCCAGCTCCTCATGCAGGGACATGAGAGAAGCCTCCCACAAGGATGATAAAAACATCAAAATCATCCTGGCGTCCCCTGGGCAACGTCCTTGCAGACGGACAATTCTCTCACACCAGAAGCAACTTGCAGTTTCTCAAGTCGTTCCTGACACGACAAAAAAAAAGTTTACCTACATCCAAAGAGCACTGTGGACTCAAACAATGATGGATCTGGACCAAGCTTGGCATGTATACTCAATATGCCCAAATGTGAACACTGGTGGAATTTAGGGAAAATAGACCTTGACATTTGGATGTTGTAGTTGCTGGGATTAAAGTTCACCTACAATGAAAGAGAATTCCGAACCCAACCAATGATAGAATTGAGCCAAACTTCCCACACAGAACCCCCATGACCAACAGAAAATATTGTTTTCTGATGGTCTTTGGCGACCCCTCTGATACCTTGTGACCCTCTCAGGGTCCCGATGCCCAGGTTGGGAAACACTGGCTTAGGTGGAAGGGAAGAAACTATGTTTATGATCCCCATGGGAAATTTTGGGGTCAGTGTTGCACTTTTTCAGGGTGGAATTCAAAAACAAAAAATTACAATACAATACGGGACTATTGTAAATAACATATCAGCAATAAAACACAGTATTTAAACACACAAGGATACAGCACTGTGGCAGGGCCAATTCTAATAGATTAAAAATTTTAAAACATGACGTGACAGCAGTGAGCTGAGCCTGAACAGGGCTTTTAAAGGGTAGGGTGGGGTTGATTGCCTGAACAGAGGACATTTTGCAGAGAATTGGTCAGATCAGGAGTTATTAGTTTATCGTTCAGGGAAGGCATATTGGCACAACCAAGTTTTCATGCTCCTCCTAAAGACTGCCAAAGGTTTGCCTAATATCTTTGGTTAGCGAGTTCCAGAGTTGAGGAGTCACCACAGAAAAGGCCCTCTCCCACAAGTCGCACCTGCGAAGATGACGGGAGTGAGAGATGGGCCTCTCCGGACCATCAAAGAGATTGCATGGGTTCGTAAATGGAAATGTGGTCACGCAGGTAGGCAGGTCCCAAACCATTCAGGGCTTTGTAGGTAAGAACCTGCACCTTAAATTGGGACCAGAAAATAAAAGGCTAACCTAATCAACATGGTGGAGCTTGGAGCCAGATTTATTATTTTTATTTATCGTGTCATCACAGATAAAAAAACACAAATTTTGCAAACTTGGTAGTTGATTAAATGTCCTTTGACCAATATTTGGCCACTTGGAGTGCTTCTTATGGTGTTGCCACAAGGAGGTCCTCCATTGTGCAAGTAGCAGGGCTCAGGTTGCATTGCAGCAGGTGGTCAGTGGTTTGCTCTTCTCCGCACTCGCATGTCGTGGATTCCACTTTGTAGCCCCATTTCTTAAGATTGGCTCTGCATCTCATGGTGCCAGAGCGCAGTCTGTTCAGCGCCTTCCAAGTCGCCCAGTTTTCTGTGTGCCCAGGGGGGAGTCTCTCATCTGGTATCACCCACGGATTGAGGTGGGTTTGAGCCTGCCACTTCTGGACTCTCGCTTGCTGAGGTGTTCCAGCGAGTGTCTCCGTAGATCTAAGAAAACTATTTCTTGATTTAAGTCATTGACATGCTGGCTGATACCCAAACAAGGGATGAGCTGGAGATCTCACTGCCTTGGTCCTTTCACTATTGGCTGCTACTTCCCGGCGGATGTCAGGTGGTGCAATACCGACAGTGTAATTTCTCCAGTGGTGTAGGGCGCAGATACCCCGTGATAATG